TTGTATATCAAGCGCCCGTCGCGTTTTTCACAATAATACTAGCATTTTTCGTTCGTTATTGTTTCAAGCTTATTTAAAAAAAATATTTTCAACTTTTTAGTTCGATGTTCTTTAAAAGCGTGTTTTTTAGTTTTTTAAACTCTATTTATTATAAGTATATGAAAACGGTAATCTTTATTTCATGCAGTAAATTACAAAAGTTTTGTTTATATTGAAAAATAACATCTGAATATTCTACAATATCTAGGTAATTTTGAAAAATTCACAGAAACCTAATCTTGGAAAATAACACAAACAAGTGTTACCTGATAGCCTATTATTTTTTGAAACAAACCTTCTTATGTACTGAAGGAAACATTTTCAGAAGTGGTTATTAATTTTTAAAATAATGTCTATTCTGTTATACCCAAGACTAATTCAGATGAGATTAATAATGCAAAAAAAACATATCTCTTCCGTAAAGTCATCATTAGACTTCAAAATTTGAAAATAGTTACAGTGAAAATAAAACAATTAATACAAATTCAATTTGATCAATTCATATAATTTTTTCCCTAACTTTGATTATTATGGCATCCTGCTTCGAATGTAGTTTATTTTAATAGCTTGGGAACTGAAGAAGCATAATAATATTTTTTTCAAATGAGAAAGGGATCAAAAATTCTTTGTAGATGAATAATTTAGTTTTTGTCAAAGTTTCGGACTCTGTTAAGTCCATCACCAGGGCTCTATAATAAAATAATTTCATAAGGAAACACTTTGAAATACATAAATTTTCTAGTTAATAAGTTTGATCTACTTGTAACTTTTTACTTTTCTTTTTTTTTATATATTATTGTTAACTAAATAAATATAATACAGAATGTCAATACAATTTTGCCATATTAATGCCAGATCAATTTTGTCCAACTTTGCTGGATTCAAAAATTTAGCATAGGTATAATAAATATGATGTCATAGTCTGCTGTCGTCAGCAAAGCAATATATTGGATTCTTGTTTTTTCCAATAAGTCGTTGATATACAATTAAAAGACGATTGGAGTCGATATGGATCCCTGGGAAACACCAGCGTTGATGACGAAATTTTTCGAGAGGTATTTATCGACGGCGACTTGCAGGGAAAGTTNTTATTTGAATATTTTGAGTTTGTCCAAACTATCATCAAAATATCAACTTTTCATGAATTGAGAGTACTGATGTACTTAATTTCAATTAAGGCTATGTTTTGGACCATATTTAGCACAATTTATTTTTTATCTCGAAAACAGATAGAGATTGGTATAGGACAATATTAACAAAGAAGTATTAAAATACTAGAGCGATTCCAAAAATGCATTAATATACGGGGTGTTCCATTTAAAAAAATATAATTGCTAGGACTTTTTGATAGAAGTGGAAACGCCGCAATGCTGAAAATATTTTAGGTCGATAGAACAGGTAAGGAAATGTGAGAGGTGATATTTTCAGAAAAATCATGCTTTGCGTTTTCCAGAAACGTCTAACCTTCTATCGACCGTGAGTCACGCTGTATATGAGATTGTATTTATAAAGATGTACCCTTTTTTATGACTTACAGCTGATGAATGGAAACTGATTTTAACAGAAAATTAGGTTATTATGGATTTTAAATAGATATCGATCAATTTCATCACATCTAACAAAAACATTGAGTGTAAAAATCAGTCACTATTAAGTGCATTGCATTGAAAATCAAATGCAGTGTGAAATTGTATAAGTGACAAGATTAAATTAGAATGTCAGAGGGGTACATTGATTGAGGTTTCAATGATCCTGCGATAACTTTCTTACAGTACTAAATGCTTAAGCAAAATTTTCAGAGGGTTACATGATACCTCTCAAAAATAAATTATTTTTATTATCCCGAAGTAGAAAATGAGTTTCAGCCTTAGGGGTCATTACATATGCACCAAAAAGAGGACTTTGCTTCCTTTATTTTTTATGATGTGGGGGCTGGTCCAACTGGATGGTCGATTCAACAGCTATTTATTTATTATTTATGATTCAGTAGGTTCTACTATGAACATGTATATCAGTGTTTACGTAAGCATATGGAGAAGAGAGTTTTGCTTAATTTCACTGACAAGGGAGAGAAAGAAATTGAAAAAGTATGATATTTTGCTTACTTTATACGTTAATGAATCCTTATTCTGTTAGTTGTAGAGGTGGTGTACATGAAAAATTTTGAAAATTGAAGACAATAACCCTATTGGGGGATTTTTCGCCAAAAGTGACGCCAGTTAAAGGGAAAAATAAAGAAAAATGAAGAAAACGTTATAACAATAAGTCAGTCCTAATTTTTTCTTCTTTAAATCACAACGTTATGCAGTCTTCCACATTTTTACTTATTGATAATCAACCTAAAAAAGCCTCATTTAGGAAAAAATATTAATTGCACCTTGAAAATACTCGAAATAATTGAGGTGTTTATTTGAATATTATTGATGGTTTTTCAAAAATATTAAACATAAAATTACTTGAAGTTTTTTTACTAATATCACAATAGGTACCTAATATTTACGTAATAAACAAAGTAAATCACAAAGAAAATCACGAATCATGACATGATTAGGCACGTGGACTCGGCAAAATGTCTTCATCGCTTGTATGAAATTCAACCCACCGAACATGACCGATCACAGCGCGGGAACTCCCGAATGCAGTTTCGGTTTCGGTCGTATTTTCGGCAGATTTGCCACCGAAACCCGTTTTTTTGCCGAAACTCGACCGAAACCGAACTTCGGTCGGACACTAATTGGAATATAAGAAAAATGTTCATTTTCAGAAAAGTGAACTCTGTATGCAAAGATGATAAATTTCGGTGTGGCGTGTGTAAAATTTGTGTTTAACACGCTTTAATTAGCTACACCTCTATGTAAGTATGTATGTATGTATGTTTGTTTGTTTGCTTGTAACTCCCAAGCTTGGGATCCGTATTTGACAGAATTGTCGACACTATTGCTTGATCTATTCGCGGGCATATGACGCTGTACATAACCTCCTTGATATATCGACATTATTGCTTGATCTATTCGCGGGCAGATGGTGCTGTACGTAACCTCCTTGATATATAGACATTATTGCTTGATCTATTCGCGAGCGGATGGCGCTGTACGTAACCTCCTTGATATAATTCGAACTCACTTTACATTTATTTCTTCATTTGAAAAAAGTTTTTTTTTATTAACACGCGCCCTTCTGCCATATTTGTAACCCTCCTTTGCGCGCCTGCTGCCTTGGGCTTGGTAGCTGATTTTCAGGCTTCTTCTCCGGAATCGGAAAATATCAATGGTCATTTTTCTAAACAATTTACGGCTGATTGATCCTAAAGTTTAGATGAAATGAATATAAGTAAATAGGCTATAGGAGTTCTGGCTCATTCCTTATGGAGATTAACATGGAAAATGGCTAAGGTCCATTCTGCAATTTTTGGTTCCTTTCAAGGTCACGCGTACGGCAGAGAATGGCGAGTACACCAATCAGAGCGCTCCAAATTGTCACGTGACCCAGATGCATCGTCGCGAGTACACCACACTGGCGCCACCTATGAGTCACTAGCTGAACTATCTATTGGTTGAAGAAGGACACTGTGAACACTAATCCTAGCGCCACCTATGAGTCACAAGCTGAACTATCTATTGGTTGAAGAAGAACACTGTAAACACTAGACATATGGGTGTTGTCATGCGACGCAGTATGCGCAGTTGCCGGTTTTATGATGTCTGTCAATACGGATCGGTGTCTGTGCAACTGTCAAATGTCAATGAGGGTGCAGGACGGTGTCTGTGAGGGGGAAACGTGTGACGTCATCGACGCAGGATGGAACGAGTATAGTAGCGATTTAAGCGTAGAACTCCGCCCCTNGATTAATACCAATTAATCTGTTTTCACCTCTGCCACAGGGCCTCCATTACAACACTGATACTTATCTGATTTTCATGAAACCTTTTCGTTTTTTATTCTCAGATTCACACATATCACACCTGAAAGATAAGCCAGAATCGGAACTGAATAGACTGTTGAGTATGGTAGTGGACGTGGATAACATGTACACAGCCATGAGTAGGGAAGAAAATCCAGAAACTAAGAAGGTGTACCTGTACTTGTTCAGAGTAAGAAATTCTTCAGATGGAGTAGATCAATTTTTCCATACGTAGCTGAGAATATAAATTGTCTTGATCTTTTTGAAAGAGGTTTTCTTCTTTAGAGGAAACCTCTCATAGTGGATCAGTAAATTATGAGGGTATTTTTATAATCTGATTTCAATTATTTTTCATTTTCAGTTTTTGATTCAGACTTTTTCAATATACCAAATTTTTCCAGCTACTACGAAAATGTGTCTTAACCCTAGACACCCCAGTTGTTGAAGGACCCTTGGGACAACCACCATTCCAAAAGCCTTGTATCCACAAGGCAGTTACAAATTTGTTGGTGTATAAATATTCTCATATAGGTCAACAAGAATTGAAAACCATGTACGAACTTGTGAAAATTCTATTTCATTGTCTGAATACATGGGATTTTCCATGCCCTAGCAGTCAGAAACATATAGTGAGTCAAGAAGAGGCAACAAAGTATAAAATAGAATATACCAGGTAAATTTTTATATATCATAATTCTGATGAAACTCAATAAGTCAATTATTTATTTTATTTATTGCTGGTGAAATCCTAGACTCAATGCTCTTCACATATTTAAAATATTATTAGTAAAAATATTAATTTATTTCTGTTGTAATTTTAATGAAATCTATTTCTTGTGAGCAAATTTCTCTGGTAAACAAAATGTGCTTAGGTAACACTTTATTGTGTACATAATAACAATAATAATAATAATAATAATAATGATG